GCCAAACCAAGCCACAGGGACCCCCGGGCTGGAATGCCCCAGGCCCACATGCCACTGCCTGTTTCCGACCACACTGCTTGCGAGATCCTGATTGGGTAATTTTTGAATCCTACTGTTTTCGATTGGATATTAAAGCTTGTTGTTGATTGGATGTTAAAGCCTGTTGCTGATTGGATGTTAAAGCTTGTAGTTGATTGGATGCTTCTTGAGCCCTACCAAGGGTATAAAAGCAGGGGCAGAAGGGCAGGAAGGGGAGAAATTTGAGACAACGGGAAGACATGAAGAGAGCTGTAACACTAGGTGTGCTGAGCCTGCTGTGGAAGAATAAAGGCTGTTCTCTGACTCTTCATGTGCCACTCGGTTCTTTCGCCGGTCAAATGAATAAGAGCTGTAACGCTCAGCTGTACACACTGCCTCAACAATTATGTATGTATATACTCCCCCCCCATCCCCACTCCCACCTGCCCAATATCAATTAATATAGTTCTTGCATGTCCACTTAGGTGCTGATAAGTTAATACCAGTTTGCTTGTTGTTCCATTCTTGGGATACTTCACTTAGTAGTAAGGGTTCCAGGTCTATCCATGAAAATACAAGACGTGCTATATCACCATTGTTTCTTAAAGCTGAATGGTACACCACGGTATACATATACCACATTTTATTAATCCACTCATGAATTGATGGGCACTTGGGTTGTTTCCACAGATTTGCAATTGTGCTGTTATAACCATTCAACTGCAGATGTCTTTTTTGTAGAGTGTCATTTGAGACGGGACCTCGCGCAGGAATGAGAACCCCAAGGACAGAGAATGAGTGGGGTCAGGGGACTCGAGGCTTTCCAGACCCAGAGTCCTGAGAGTAAGTCCTCACTCGTATTTACTCCTTCTAAAAGGAAAGATCACTGTGCATCACACAGGCACACAGTGCTCCATGGACGTCCCCGGGGAGCAAGCTCTAAGGACGCCCAACGAGTGCGGTTCCCAGTGCAGGTCACTCGGGCAAGCTTTAAAGGTCGCTGGTACAGACTGCGATACCCAGGTGCACATTAACCGCAAGGAGCCTTCTCTTGCCTAAAACAAGGTGAGGCGTGGCCCTTGCGATGTGGCAGGCCAGCTTTCCGGGGCTGGGACGCTCCCATTTCAGTCCCGGAGCGCTTCCGCCCAACGTAGTAGCGTCTGCGCACACCATCGCGCCATGCCGCCGGAGCGTTCTGGTGCCGCGCTGGCCTGCAGCGGCCG